ATATCTTGGTATTCAACCAACTGAAAAGAGATCGACTGGTATTGCACGTGAACTAGTATTACGTCTTTGTGCTCCATATTTAAATATTGGAGTGAATATTACTATGGACAATTTTTTTACCAGTGTTGAATTGGCAGAGGCTTTGATTGAATTAAATACAACATTGGTAGGAACGATCAGATCAAATAAACGTCAACTACCAAAACAATTCACATCGCTAGAAGCAGCAAAAACACGGGGCTTATTTTCGTCAGCGTTTTGTTTCTCGGGTTGTTGCGAACTTACCAGCTATACAGCTAAAACAAAGAAAAATGTTTTACTACTATCAAGTGCACATGCAACTGAAGAAATCGACTCGAAAACTGGAAAACCAAAAGTGATTCTGGATTATAACAAGTATAAAGGAGGAGTTGATACGTTCGATCAAATGTTACGCATATTTACATGCAAACGAAAATCCAATCGCTGGCCAATGATATTGTTTTTTAACATGATCGACGTTGCAGCTCTAGCGGCTTTCCGTTTGCACGAAATGATTCATCCAGATTACGAAGCGCACAAGTCAGAGAAAAGAAAAATATTTCTGAAAGAGCTGGCATTTGAACTAGCTACTAAACAATTGGAGAACAGATGCAAAACTGCAGTTAAATCGTCAGTAAAAACGGCAATGGATTTAATTGGATTCAAGCCACCAAAAATGACCACCGCACCACTAGCAATGCCTGCAATTCAGGTAATAAATCAATTTAAAATTTCAATTCGAGCTGATTAAATTTAATTTTAATTCTTTTATCAGGTAAAGAACACAAAACGTCGATGTCAAACTTGCAAAACACATCGAAATACCAGAGACAACAAAACGACTGCCGTATGCGATTTGTGTCTGAAGCCAACATGCTCAAATCATTATGTACGGGCTTGTGAAGTGTGCTATCTTCACAATTTCAAAGACCCCGACACTGCTGTTTCAAGCGAATCCGATGAGGAAAATCGTAATGATGCAGCTCCGTCAACTTCACGTACACAGGCTAACAGAAGATCTCGCGTTGATTCAATTATTAACCTTTAATTTTTATATCAGTTTTAATTGTTTACGTTCATATGACGCAATGTGTTATACACATTCATTTTTTTATTGATTTATATTATATAGAATTGATTTCAATAAATGAAAAATAAAAAAAATTGATATTTTGTGAAAAAATATGTGAAGTTCCATAATTTACATGAAAGGCAAAATGCCATTTTGAAAATGAAATTGATCGAATTCATAGGTGCCGCAAAGATTTGTTTAGCCAATATTTTTTTATATTGTCAGCACAGTATACAAAACGGGGCTGCCGATCTGCTGCGCACATTCATGTATTTAGTTTACGAAATGACACAATATTTTTCGAAATATCGAAAAAATTCCAAAAAAAAAAAATGAAAATACAATTTAGTAAAAATTTGTTCAGTGAATATTTTTTTATTTTGTCAGCACAGTATACAAAATGTAGCCGCGGATCTGCTGCGCACATCCATGTATTTAGTTTACGATTAGACACTATATTTCTCGAAATATCAAAAAAATTCAAAAAAAAAATTGAAAAATTTCAATTTTTCCATACAAAATACACTACGGGCACTGAGTGCCCCCAAAGACGGGATTAAGGTAGATTGCAGAAGGACGGTTTTAGGGTTAAATATCGTTGAAGCTCATAAAATGTATGCCTACAGATATGTAAAGAATTTAGACATACTACTGCACAGGCTGTGATTTTTTGTGCCGTAATTATAGCAAAACTAAGTTTTATTCATTGCATAAAAATGTCTGATCACAATTTTTTTTTCTACTTTTTTCAGAATCGCTCTGAAGCATATAAGCTATCGAACCATTTGATCAACAATAATGTAAATTGCAAACTTTTGTCTGGTGCCATGTCGTATAAAGACCGAGAATTTGCATTGACATCATTTTCTCTGGGATCTACTCAATTCATTGTCTCCACCGATGTTTTGAATACTGCAATTAACGGAAATAATGTCAAAGCAATAATTATCGCACAAATGCCGAATTACAAAGGAGCTATTGATTTCAAGCGTTTTAGATTCAGCGTTGGACGTTGCGATCGTTTCGGAAAACAAGCTATAGTTTTTTCATTTGTTTCACAAGACGATATGATCAATGAAATTCAAAATCTCAGTATCAAAAAGTTAATCATTGAAAATTGAAATTATTTAAAATATGACGAATAGTGGTGAATAGTTGAAAACTCACCAAATGGTGTATACACGTTTCATACAACTATTTTCAGAAAAAAACACACTGTCATCAATTATATTTATACTGCTGTCAACACTTCTATAGAATGACACGCGTTAATTATAACTATAGTTACTTATAAGCGCTTATTTGTTGGTTTTTGATAAAATAAAATATATTTGATATCTATTCCAGAAGAATTATTGTTATCAAAGTTTTTGTTTTAAAGTGTAAACACAAAAAAATATGTCGAATGATAAAATGAATGGCATATCGAAAAAAAGAAACCGCTACATACCACAAAGGTTTGGAGCCGCCGGAGAAATAAGTTCTGATTCATTCGAAAACGATATTTTTGGCGACAATTCATTCGATGATATAAATTATGACCCACCAAAAAATCCACCAAAAACCATAGCAACAATTTCAAAGGCATCGTATCCACAAAATAAAAAAAAGAAAACTAAAGTCACTACAGATAAGCATCCCGACAATAGAAATCAAAATGCAGAAATTAATTTTGATGTTGAATTCGATTTGTTAAAAGAACAAAGGTCACTTGCTGGGACAAAGAGTAGCTTAGCTGGTCATCATGATGAAAAAGGCGCTCAAAATACAACAAAAACTCTTGACATTGATTTGAACTCTGAAAAAGAACCGCTAGCTCGAAACATAGCACGCGACTATGCAACAAGTGGTGGTATTGATGTCATAAATGAATGTCCATTTGAAGTGAGCAATGATAAAATTGAAAATAACGGTGATAAATTTAATGAATCATGCTTGAAAATTTTATGGGAATTACAAGCAAATTCAAAAGAAACTTTGGCGAGAATTGCATTGTTAGAAAATGCAATGTTCAAGAACGAGCATTTAGCTATGATGATTAATCAAAAATCAAGTCTTGTGAAAAAAATCGAAGACGCCAAAATGTTTACTACCGCCAATAATCTACCCATTCAAAATGCAAATCAATTGGACAAATTTGAGGAAAATTTGAAAGAGGAAAAATTCAAAGAGTTAGCGGTAATTATAATTGTATTTACTGATTTGTGCAACATCCATTTAGGGTCTTTTTTTCTTTTTTGTATACAGGTCAATTGTCTAGCAAACATACCAGATGTAAAAGGCAATATTGGAAATCAACCAAAAATATTAAAAAAATTGTTATTAGAAATAATGGACAAAAGTCTCATTGCTCAATTCAGTTGGACCGGAAAATCATCCAATGGAAAGAAAAAATCATTTAAAAATTTAATTAATGTGAAAGACTTATTGTATAAATGTGTCAATAGAATTGACGTAAATTTCACTGAAATTTTAGCGGAAAATTATCTGAAAAATAAAATATTAAAATACGCGAGCGAGTAAGTTTCATATAGTACTCATGAGTAAATTAAATGTTAACATATATATATATATATATATATAATATATTTTTTTAAAAATGAAAACAGTTACAAACGGGAGAAAAAATCTGACATCATACGGCTGCCGGAGTTAATTAACTTAAGTGACTCAAAAGTTAATTTAAGTCACGTAAATCAAGTTCATGTACCAACGACGCAGTCAAAAGCTGACATTTGTTCAGATGGCTATGCTGTTGTAGACAATAATGTTGGAAGTGTTGAACGTGTTTGGGATTTAACACAAAAAAGTGATTTCCAAACTAAAAAGTAAGTGCCAATCATTGATATTTTTATAAACTTAAAAATATACATAGACGTTGAAATATTTCTCATTCATTTTTTTGTTTAATATGAAGGTATGGTTCAATTGAAGGCTTACCACTGGGTTCGAGAATACTTCCCATTAACAGTACATATTTGAGTGGTAAAAACAGTGAAGTAATCCAGAAGGGTTTTAGATTCCAAGACTATGACCATGTGTAGGTTTTTCTCTGTTGACCTATTTCTGCTAATCTTATTCAATGTATATATTTTTTTATTTTGTACAATGATAGAGAGACGTACAATCGATTGTCCGATGACGATCCTCGATACTCAGTCTTCAGTCAGCAAATAAAATCGATTCCAACCTTAAATCGCATTACAACTCATACACAAGCTCAATCTCGAGGAGCGCAATTAGTTGCACTAGCACTTGGCCAAAAAACTACACAAACAAAATATTGACTATATAGTTTTTATACAAAAAGGTTAAAGAAATTATGACCATCAATATGAATAAATTCACTGCAAGCATTTTTTTACTTCCTTCGATCATTTCAAAATATATGTGTAAAAATAAGAAAAAAAAAAGATTTTATTCTTTAAAATTAAATCGTTATTTCAAGCAATCATTTTATTTGTATATATGTATGTTAATTAAATAAATTTCAACTCTTTGGAAGATAATCTTTAGTTGTAATCATTGTTCAAAAATTAATCGTTTCATCTGATGCGTTCTAGTTGTTTCATAATAGAATTTTTCGATGGAACTAGTTCTGCCTCTTGTACTGACTTACTATATAATTGGTTTTTTCGGCCCTTAAGATTAGATAGTATAATATCAGCACAGTCTTCAAATTTGAATATGTTTTTTATAGTGGTTTTGTATGTAGTGTTATCACCAAAAAATTTAACATTGACTAGTTCTTCATTGAGCTCAATTATACGGCATGGCCAATGACAAAAACCTCGCATCTTACACAAAACGACTTCATCAATTTGAACAACCTCAGCATGTTTTGGTATTTTTTTTGACTGTAGTCAGTGCTCGATGTTTGTTTGGCATCTTTTTGGGCTGACATTTAGGCTCATCTTGAAAAGTGAACGGTAAAAATGTGTTAGAATCAACTCACATTCATTATATATTTTTAAAGTTAAGCTTATAAGCATTTATGAATACGAACCATTTATAGGTGCTTTGAAAATGACATTTTTGATGCCAATTGGCGAATTCTGGCTTATTTGATCATGATCCATTCCATCTGAATCCATCCGTGTAGACTTAGATCCAGTTTTCCGTTGACTACTTCGTTTTTTTTACGATTTTGTTCTGAATCTGAAATTTATTTAACACATTAATTAACATATGAATCGTTGCGGCGAAAAAGTAGCTCTTATTTTTCTCCAAATAATACTGCAACATGAAGTTGTTTTTACACGGTTTATTTGTTGTAATACAACAAATAAACTATTCATAAA